GATGGGTCTGCACTCACCAAGCCCCCACGTGCCCTTCCCCAGCCCACCCGCAGCCAAGCCTGGCTGTTTAAATCCCCGCCGCCTGCACAGAGCATCAGCCCCCAGGCCAGGAATGCGGCCACCATCAGGAGGAGAGAGGAAGCAAACAGGAGTGATGCAGGCCCTCTGCTTAAAGTGTTTTTCATATGGAAAGCCACGTTCCCTGCCTGCATTTCTGGCAGCTGCCCTGTCCGCTGGCTCCGTCAGTGCGAAGTCCTCTGCTGGCACATTGCCCAGCCGTTCCCAGAGCCCAGCTCTTATTCATTGACTGGGTAGGATTACAGGAACTGGGGGAAATGCAGAAGTGAGGCCGTATTTGCCACCAAACTGGTTTTGGCTCCTGGTTTATTTGCTGCTTTCCCACTTCCCAGGCCTGCTGGAAGTGGCTTTCCTTCACGCTGATGTTCTCCAGGTTTTGCCCTGGGGCAGAGCTGTGACACTTACGTGGCACTGAGGGGGGCAACAGGAGTGTAAGCCAGGCTCACCCTAAACTTTGCATCATCCAAGGGTCCGATCCAGTCTGCCCTGCCCTGGCCAGTTTATTACAGGGGGGATTTCTTGTTACTCTGGGTCCCAAATGCTGCTTGCACCCAGCTCTGAGGCAGAAAGCAGCAAGACTCAGCAGCCTGGGAAAGTGATATCTTGGATAACCAGCGTCGTTCACATGCTCTCACATTTCCCTGGCCTCTTGCTGAGTTCTTTTCCTTCCTTCTGAAGCGGGGCTTGGTCAGGAGCGTTGGTATCAGGTTTTGTTGCGCGTGGATAAGCCGGGAAGCGGCTGCATTGCCCACCCAGGGCAAGACCTGCAGAGCTCATGACCCTCCACCACGGAGGGTCAGACTCGTGCTTCCCCCTACACAGCTGCTCAACTCCCAGTTTCCACACAGAATTTAATCTTCCCAACCTGATCATCCCTCTGCTGAGGTCTCTCCCATGGGTCTTCTCCCCGGAGTGACCCAACGAGCTGATCCACCACCAGATGACACTTGGATGAGGGTCAGTTTGGGGGGCTGTGTCAGGACATAGGATCGCTCCCCCCTTTCAGAGGCCCCCCCAGGTTCTGGAGGACACCCACACACAGCAGCTTGTCCAAGCACACAGCAGAGCCAGGGATGTGCTCGTGCTGAGCGGAGCCAAGAGAGGCAGGGTGGTGTTACTTCAGGACACGGCGCTGGCCTCCTCTGCTCCCTGCAAAGGGTGGGATGGGTTTTTTGCCTTTTTTCTCTCCTTTTTCCATCCTGGCTGTTTGGAAGTGCAGGGCAGAGCTGATCCCCACTCCCCTGAATGGGACCACAATTATGAGCAGCAGAACAGTGAGGAGGAGCAAGGTCTCATGCTGAGGTTTGGCTGAGTGTCCCACGAGTGTGGGATGTTTCTGGCTGTCTGTTCATCCCTGTGTTTTTATTATAGTGGGATCTAAGCTCCAGTCTACTCCAGTGCTGGGTACCAGACAGGAGCAATCCTGCCAGCACTGGTGTCTGTGCTGCCAGTTGTCATTTTCTACCTAGTTTGACTATTTTGTTTAAATCTCTAGCTCCTGGAGTCAGGTGAATAAGGGCAATTCCCAAATTCCACATTAAGCAGAGGGCTGTGATGCTTCTGGCTGCAGAGGAAGCAGGTCCCAGGGCTGCTGGGGGATGCAGGTAGCACTGCAGTAGAACAAGCTGTGGACTACAGCTCTTTGCAGGTCAGACACAATCTCCTTGTGCAGGTACAACTTCAGTGGGACCAGCATTCCCTTTTTTTGTGTGTTTGCCATGAGAGTGTTTCCAGCTAGGTTTTGGAGGGACTGTGTTGCCCTGGGGATCGGAGTAGAGGTGGGATGGCGTGGGATGGGATGGGACAGGTGGAAGCCCCATTCAGTTAAGGGTCTGTCCTGAAGATTTTTCTTACTACCTGTAAATCCTACAAGTTGGCTTGACTGGGTGCTTAAGGGTCTCTTAAAGAAACCTTGGAGCAGTGTCCTTTCCTACCCCCAGGTCTGCTCCCACAGCTTCAGCAGGCAGGGTCAGGCCAGTCCACATGATCCAGCCATTGCTTGGAGCACTCCAGCACCTGGGCCTGGAGCTGAGCGTTTGGGAGCCGTGGTTTATCCGGGTATTAGCTGGAGCCTTCGGATGGGCTGAGCTCAGCCCTCCCAGCTGCTCCAGAGCCTTCCTCCCACGCAGCCCTCCCCAGAGGCACTGGATGCACAGAGCTCTCTGCAGGAACCAGGCACAGCTGTGAGCAGCCTCTGCCTGCACCGGGCACCCTCGATGGTCCAGGGGCCATGTTCAAGGTGCTGGGGGGGTGACTTGGGATGATTTCCCATCCCACCCCTTTTCCATCTCTGCATTTTCAAGTCCCGTTCTCTGTTGCTCATGAGAAGCTTCCACTGGCCCCCTCCAGCCCCTGGGGGGAGCAGAAGCTGATGAAGACCTGGCCCTTAGTAAAGATTTCGACCTCAAAGCCTACATCCTCATCCATGACAGCATCGTGCAGGAGGCTGCAAAAGCAGGCATGTGGCACAGGATTGTGTCCAAAAGCAAACAGCTCATGCAGGAGCAGCCTGTAGCAACCATGCAGTGCCTGTGGTTTGTTGCAGCACAGCCTGTCCTTTGCAATCCAGGAAGGTAAAGCCAGGGAAGGGGGAAGTCTTGCTTCCAAGCCCCACATCAGCACAGTGACTCTCAGTAACCCCAAGGGCCACCATCCCGTGTCACCCCACGGCGCTGGGGACCGTGTTCCTACAGCAAAAGGCTCCTGGGCTGGGGGCAAACAGCCTGTGTGGAATTAAAATCCTCCTGAAGGCGATGTCTGGCAGTGATGGAGGATGTGCTGGGGGTTGGATTAGGATGAAGTGGGGGACTGGGGGTGTTCAGGCATCCTCGGTATCTGGAGGGCTCCTAACGTTACCGAGGGGCAAGGAAGGAGCCAAGTGAGTGTCTTCTGGGATTGCATCTCTTGTGCCTGCATTCCCAATACCAGGGCTCCTGCATACCTTCTCCAAGACCACAGCAGAGCTGCAAAGCACTTCCTTTTACCAGGATATTTATTGCTAAATATATGAATCTGGGAGCCTGTGGAGCGTGAAATTAGGAACAAATGTAAAAAGGAGGTCTAGACAGGAATTGTTCAGCTTATGGGCCTCTGCATGCTCTGCTTTCCTCCCCCTTTGCACTCTGGAGGGTTTAATGCTTCCAGGTACGCCGCTTTAATCAGAGAAGTATGTCTTGGGAGGAAAGAAAAGGACGAAATGCAAATGGTCTTGCTCTGGAGGGAGCAGTGGCAGCACTGCCACGTCAGGCTGGGCGCAGCTGGGCAAGAACCGTGAAAATTGCCTCTGTGCAACACTCACTTGTGCCCCCAGGGTTTAATTAATGGGTGAGAAAGCCGTGGAGCCCTCCCTGGCAGACCCCTGCCTGCCACCTCTCATGGTGGGCTGGCAAGGAGATGATGATCCTCTCTGATGGGTGCAACACGAGTCCCTGAGAGGCTGCAGGGCTGAGTCCGGCCACCACTGAGCCAGGTCCTGGTGCCAACCCTGCACACCCTGCCCTTGGCACTGGGACAGCACGGGGATTGCAAATGGGAGCAGCAAAGGACCCATAGACGGGCATTTCCAGATGGTACCTGCTGCAGCCCGAGGTCTGCGGCCAAGCAAATCCATCCCTCTTTAAACAGGAACCAGAGTTTCTAAATCACTAATGCACTGTTTCCAGCCCCTTCCATGGCCATGCTGCTCCCCCTGAGCCTCCTAAGAGCATTTTGCCCAAGGAATGAGGGCAGGATTTGGCCCGGCACTTGCCTCGTGGCCTCACGGTGTGAGAAGCCATTCAGCCCTCGGTATAAATTCCCGTCCCTCCTCCCGCTCTCCTGAGCAGCAACAACATAAAACGTGACACTGCTTTATCCATTCAGCACTCACCCAACTTTAGCAGGACATTAAGCGCCTGAAAATATGGCATGGATTTATTTTCTTTGGAAGCAGGTTAAATCCCTGACAGATACAGTTGCTTTTCCTCGGGTGCTGAAGTAATTTGGGGCTGGGGTGGCTGGTTTTTTGGGTTTAACCTGATAGCATGAGCTGGAGGCCAGCTTTGTTAAAGCACTTGTAGAGTAGGTGGTCAGGGTTTGGTTTCTCTCTTAATTTATGTCTCTTCTCCTGTTCCCAGCCCAGTGCTTGCAGCACTAAAGGGCTACTGGAGCTTTAGGGTTACTGCTGCTGTCTCCAGAGCCGCTGGCAGGTGTGAGCAGGCAGGTTCACGTCTCCCCAGCATCCTTCCTGTGGCAAAGAGCTGTGTCTTACCCTGCATGGGATGGAGAGGAATTCAAGTGAATCCAACTGTGCCAGGAGCAGGGATCTTCCACTGCTACCAGTGCTGTGTCATCAGATTCCTCACAGATTCCTCTAAAGGGCATTCCAGGCAGAGAAGGGTGCTGGTGGTACCCCAAAGTGCATGCACGGGGCCAAGTTGAGGCACAGGGTCTCTGTGATGGTCAGTGCACTGTGTCCCAGCCATAGCATTTGTGAGCAAACAGCTCTCCCATGGCTGTCCAAAAACTCATCCTGGGGTGCCCCCAACAGCCCCCAGACACTGGCTTGGTGAAGTGGAGGAGCCTGATGCCTCAGACACATCCTGTTCCTCAGCTTGCTGCTCAGGGAGGAGACCATGCCTGTCCCTGAAGTCATTAAGGGCTCACTTAGCAGCTCCAGTCACTCCAAATTAAAATATCATATTGTTTTCATGGGGAAAATGGATTATAAGCTCATAGGAAAATGTGTACAGCTCAGAAATCCTTATTGCAAAGCCCCTTCTCCCATCACCAAAGCTCTCTGCCACCGGGCAGGAGCTGGGAGGGTGCCACGAGCCTGGGTCAGAAGGTTTTATTTTCCCCCCTGCAAACTGGGGGTGAGAGTAGGGTTTGGGGCTCTGCCCAGCCCAGCCTCACCCTCTCACCCCGTGCACTCGCTTTTGCAGGCTGTTAATGGAGAAGAGGGCGGATGACAGCCGGGACTGTGGTCATCACAGGTGGAATATTAGCAACTGTTATTTTGCTATGTATCATCGCCGTCCTCTGCTACTGTAGGCTCCAGGTAAGGCTGGGGGATGTGACCCCAAAGGGATACGCTGCAGTGGAGAGGGGACTCCACTGGTCCTCAGGGCTGGCTGGCACACACAGAGCAGCCCCTCAGGGACAGGGTGGGGGGTCTGGGGTGCCAGCTGAGCCATCCCCTTTCCAGTATTACTGCTGCAAGAAGGATGAGTCCGAGGAGGATGAGGAGGAGCCCGACTTCGCCGTGCACTCCCACATCCCGCCGCTCCACTGCAACCGCAACGTAGTGCTGACCAACGGCCCGTCCCTCTACGCCTCGTCCCCCTTCAGCAAGAAGGCGACCCCGAGCAGGTCCAGCTGCCCCGGCTGCGGCCCCTACGAGCCCCCCACCTTCTTCCTCCAGGAGCCCCCCGAGGAGCTGCACAACGGCGGCGACCGGGTGAGCTACAAGACGGTGAGCCAGGAGGACCTGGCCCTGCCGGTGAGCGTGTCCAACCTGCAGGCTCTCAACCCCAACCGGCTCTCGGCCATGCGGGAGGCCTTCTCCCGCAGCCGCAGCATCAGCACCGACGTGTGAGGGGCTGGCAGCCCCGTCGCGCCT